CTCTTAAATAACTACAAAAATTGTAGTAAAGATTTCCCCTTTTTCTGCGAGACCTACTACATCTGTAATAAGTGATAAGTTCTACTGGATACAGAATAGCAAACCAACCTCTAAAAACCTCAGTTTTGTCACTATTTGCACTAATGGAATCAAGACTGCTTCTAAAATCAACCCAGATTTGTTTACACAAGATTGTTTATGATCATACAAGGACTATGGTAACCTCCAAATCTCATTATACCACAATATTCATGCACATAATTTCAAAAACTCACACAATACAAAAGATCAGGAATTCCATTTATCTTCTGTATCACTAATACACATCTGTGTCTCCTTATAGCCCACAAGTAAGGTTTTTACAAAGCTTCCTATCAACAAAAGAAAAACTACAGTGCCTTCTCACATAAGGCCTTTTTAAATGCACCATAAAAACTAAGTAGTGCCTGAAGTCATTTCCAGTAATCAGGAGTGCACCACAAAAGTGTACTCAGTTCCTAAAGGATTTTTTTTTTTATTTTATTTTTCAGGCAATTTTCAATAAGATGTGAGTGTTCCAACTTGCACTATTGCAAAGGTACATATTAGAAAATAAGTATCTTAAAATACGCTCCCCAAAAATCCCTTCCAAAGGTATGAACTATTCTTAACCAATACTGGTAATAAATTAGAAACAATTTTTTAAAAATCATGAAATCAAGGGAACATGACATATTTTGTGAAATCAAGTACAAAAATGATTGGGGTGGGAGGGAAATACAAACCAAAATAACCCAGAAAAAATACCTCTCTCTGTCCTAAAATTCTATTCCTCATGCATTCTGTGTGAAAAGAAGAAACCAGGGGAATAATTACAAAGTCAGACATGATTTAAGTATCCCAGAGCAAAAAAGGGTTAAATAATATTTTATAAAGCTTTCTTGCATATATGAAGTTTTTAAGCTTTTGAATATTTGGGGTTGCATGCACATAAGGTGTGTTTCATAAGGCACATTTTTGGTTTTCTTTTTTTGTTTTTGTTGTCTTTGGGGAGCTGCTACATAAATTGGCAGCAAAAGAGGATTCAAATCTCAGGGTGGAAAGATCACTTCTAGTCGTTGTATGCTGGCATTCATAGACGGCTGTACGAAAATAAGCACAGCCTTATTTTCAGCTCCTGTTTTCAACCATCCCAGAGGACTGACACTTTTATCAGAAGAACGTCAGAGAAGTAATAGGAACCCATTATAATGGGAAACTCCAGGCAATTGAAATATATTGTATTTACATGCACTTTACCATTTCAATACCATCCCGATGTAATTAAAGATGAAATAGCAATTTTCTCTAACTTCAAAATGGAAATGAAAAACAACTTATACATTTATTAAACTACTAATTCTTGTAACCATACCCCCCTTCTATCCCTTCCTCCCTGCCCTAACTAGCTATTATTAATGGCACAGATAGATACTATGATAGTTTTCTGCCATTCACAAAACTTCTTTTCCCACTAAGATAAATTCTATTAACTTGGAGCTTTTTATCATCCAAAAGTTTTATCTAATAGTGTCAAAATACTTTAACTACTGCAGTTACTCAGATGTTTGATCATTATTACAATTTTACAGGTAGGCACTCTCATCTTGTTTAAACTCCTCCACAAGTAACATTAGGTTAGATTCTTCATTGAAATAGACTTAATTTCATGCACCAGCATGTTGGATACCATAATATATTGTATATTTTAAACACAAAGAGTGTGCTGTTTTGTTCTCTAGATGTAAAATCTTAGTGGAGCAGGGCAGGAAAACCAAGTTTTTACCTCAGTATAACAAAATCCTACTTTGAAAGAGGGTTTACCTTTATGAGCCACACTGGTGTAGAGACTCAACTACTCAGAGTTCACAGCCAGTGTCAGTAAATAGAGTTTTCAGTACAAAACCAAAATTCTGGCAATTAAATCACATTCAAGTAATAGTTCCAGCCTTTCTGTCTCTGATCAGTAAAGCCTAAACCAAATTATGTCTTCACTTTAAGACATAAACCAGGGCAAAAGTAATCTTTTCTGTCTCATTCAGTTTCTGGAGTTAATAGGTGTTTTGTTTCTATAATGTATACTCATAGGAGCAGTGACCTTTTCCAGGACACAGATACTGAATCCATGGACTGTTGGTTTAATGCCCCATTTTAAATAGACATACTGCTATAAAACTGTAAATTGGACAATTTTAAAGTTAACAGCTATTTTCAACATAACTTGTTCTAACTGGCAAACCAAGGAATGAGACAATGAAATTCTTTATCACATTTATGATTTAATACTTTAATAATGGAGGTTGACCAGAATACTTCTCAAACCTATTCATGACATTTCTATGAAAACAATATCATGAATTTGGCACAATAGAAAGAATGAATTTGGTTCTTTATTGCCATAGATCAATTCCCTCAAAGTCTACTACTTTATCAGTCTTAGATTATTTTCAGCAAAAAAATATGCCTGATTGTCTTACAGTCCTAAACTGGCTCATTCCTGGAGAGCACTAACTACTGAAGCTGGAAATGTGTGGCTGTTCAAACTAGTATTTAAATTCATTTAGACTTCCTCATGCAAGAATTTCAGTTTATCCTGGGGTTACATACAATCACTTTGAGCAAAGGTCTCAAAATATATTTTTAAACAACATATTCATAAAAAGAAGCTGAACAAAGTCCTGTTAACACAGTTTGGGATCACCTAATCTAATTCTTGAAGCAACTAACTGAAGCATAGAGAAGGAATGCTGAAGTGTTCTGTTCTAATAGAGTTAGATTAGAAATAACCTAATGTTTTTATTTTTAGAAACCATTATCAACAGTATAAACTATTATATAAAACTTGCCTACCAAAAATGTAACATTTATCTGAATATAGATAAAATCAGTGAAATATAGGAAGGTATCTAGAAAAATCAGCCCTGCCTAAAGTATACTTTAGTCTCTACTTAGCATCTCCTGTCTCCACTGTGTCCTTCTTGAGAGGAAAAGAGCACCCTGTCATCAGTAAAATCATGTACTCTCTTCTAGTCACCATGTAATTTGAACAGGTTATATTTCAATGAATGTGCAATGCAACACATTATCATTTATTCAAGAGAGACAAACATGGGGGCTGAAAGCATGGAGGGTAGTAATCTTTACATTCAAAGCCAAATATTACCCCCTCCGAGACAAGAAACCCTAAGGTTCACTATTACTGTCTAATATTTAAGCAAGCTAAAGATACTGCATTTATTCAAATACAGGATCTGGCTGAAGTTTCATCATATCCAGCATACTCTGCATTACACCATTTTGTCAACAAAAATATATTGCAGGCTTTGCCAGTGCTGTTGTTATCATTTATTAATAAATTGATCATAGAAAACTACAATCCACTCAGCCATTCATGGCCACATTACTCAAGGTGAAGATTATCCATATTTACTGTAGAGTCAGCACTGGGTCAGCAGCACTTCTCTACCTCTGGGGAGAAGCACATGAATGCTGAGGTATTTCTTCAGTGCTGACATGCTCAAAACTAAGACTTTTTCCTAAGCTAAGAAGTCTCATTAGCTCGCAGCCACTCCAGAAACCAGGAACAGAGTGCAATGAGAAGACATTTCAGTAAGGCAGGGAAGCCTGCCCAGCCTATCAGATCAAATAGCTCTGGTTACTCATGAAAGTGAGAATGCACCAGAAGAAACATCAGGACAGGGTTAAGAGGAAAGGTATTCAATTCACTGCTACAGTCCATATGTGTCATTTCACTAAACGAACAGCAGAAGCAAACTGACTTAGAGATAAGGTAACTAGAACCCTACAATACCCTAGTAGAGAAACACATTTGTGCAATTCTGTAATTTCCCCTATGAAATATTAAGCAAAATATCAAGGCAGAAGATCCAAAATGTCATGTGCTTCTAGAGAGTATTAAAAGGCAAGTCCAAAATCAGTCTTTCCCTGCCGAGCAAGAAGCAACCAAGGGACATGATGAAGACTCAACTTTCAGTGCCCCTTGCTCTTTATATACCACACAGGTGATCCTGGCCACACCAGTGCTGCACACGTCCTGGTGTTTGTGAGTACATAGTTGTAAAAGAGAAAGTAAATGAATCCAGCTCATTTATGGATTTTAAAAATAAACATCACCCTCCCATTCTGAAAAATCTTGTACTGAGCTTTACTCTTCTCTACCTTCCTACCTTCTCTACCTGCTCTCGTCCCCATGATCCACCGGGACTTTTAGATTGCAGGTGGTGATGTCCACATACTTAGGTCCAATCTGCCTAAGCAGCTTTCCCTTTCAAGTTCTTAGGAAAGGAGATACCATAAGTCTACGTTAAAAGCTGTCTGTCTGAAAAGGTGAAAGAAAACACTGTAAATTGTAAATGTACCCATCTAAAATCTAATACATAATTATAAAAAGCAAGATGATCTTACTACTTTACAAGTATTTCTACAAGTTTAGCAGCAAGGCAAGGAAGAAAACTTAGATAAAAAAAATTCATATAATGCAGCAATCTATTGCAGCTCATCTTCAGCAAGTCACCGTTTATCTTCAACAAGCTGTACAAATGTTTTCAGCGTTTTTAAAATGAGCTCTTCCAGATACTGCATGCAGAGTGTAAAGAACTAGCTGTTCTAAGTTGTACAAATATCATAATAATTGCATGTGTTTGAAGTTGGCATTGAGGGATGAATCACCTACAGAACCTGTGATTGTGACAGTAACACTTGCACACCATTAAATAATGACTGTTAAATAATAATTACATTAGAGAAGAACTAAAGGTACGTTATTTGTTTAAAGGCTTTACAATATATTTTCATCTACTATAGCACAGATTAAAACACTCATCTATACTTTTAAATGTTAAATATGATTTTACAAAAAATCCCACAAACAACCCTTACATTTTAATCTTTCATATTTCATTTTTAACCGTTTTCTGAAGAGTTTTAATTTATTTTTTTTTTTTTACAGTTTTAGATCCTACCTGAGAGATTCTGCCATCCGCCTTAAGTCTTCATTTTGCTGCTTTAACCGTTCAAGTTTAGCGAGGATCTTGGATAACTCCCGACTAGAGTGATCTGGGTGCTCACTGTCTCGTACCAGGTGTCCACCAATATAAAAGAGTAAAGTTCCCCAAGCAAAGAGGATGAGCATAATCCAACGCCAGGAACCAGTCCATGGCCGCATTTTCAGAAGTTCAATTCACTCCAGAACTGCTTCTACTCACAAAATAACAAACATTTTAAGTCCTTAGCTTGTACAAAGGTGGACAATTTCAGTTCCTCTGCTTCACCACATTGTACCAGAGAAAAATTATTTTCAGTGTTTATCTTACTGCAACTCCTTAAAGAAGATTCTTAAAAGGTTGTACATAGAAAGCATTAATATTGCATCATTCTTCATTTATATTCTGTGGGGAAAAAAAAAATCTGAAATTATAAATCTGATGTGTAAAAACATATTGGCTTGCAATTAGGCTAAATGTACTGTCATTAACATTCAGGAATAATAATAGGAAATGTTACTACTTTCTGTCACAGAGACAAAGAAAGAACCTTTTAACTTTCCACAGAACAATATGCTGAGTTCACGAATGACAGAAAATATGCAATTAATCCTGGGTTTCAAATGGCCAGAAGAAATGCTGCTTTTTATAGGAGAAATATTTACTAATTCATGTGTCATTTCATACATTAAAATAGTTCAAAAATCATTCCATGGTAAAGTCGACAGTCTCCTTTACTATCAACAAATAGCTTTTATTTGATTACAAATATATATTCACTTTTTTCACTTTTATTTATTTTCTTCTCCATTTTTATCATGACTCCCACTTTGTAACAAAGGAGTTATAGCCATTGTAACATATTCTGCTATTTGCAAGTATTTCAAAATCAGGCATGGCTTTCGAAACCTAGGTTTTAGAAACACTTCTCTACTGTTTTAAAACTATCAAACCCATTTTGATGTTATTATTAAACTATAAAAATGCAAAAAAATGCTCAAAAGGTAGTATCTTCTCTCATATAAAAACACTGCAGCATTTTAAAAAAATGAAAAATCACCTCAACTCATTTTCTACTTGGCAAAAAAAAAATTAACGTGTGTAAGAATCTTCTCATTTTATCTAGAACAGATTTTAACTGACAGTATGCCCAAAATCTTCTTAAGTACTTCTTCCCTCACTTCCTCTTTCTCAGCAATGTAAAATTCCTACCTTTTTTAAAAGGCACATATATATATATATATATATATATATATATATATATATATGCCATTCATATTCAGTTTCCAAAATAACCCATATTTTGAAGTCTCAGACCTGTAAATCCACAGTATTTCCTCTGAGACGCTATCCACACCCACCTTCTCTCAAATTATTTTTTTCCATTTAATCCTTCTTTACCCTTGGCTTCTTTTTAATTTCACTTAGTTATCCTGTTCCAACTCATTTGAGTTTAGAGAAAAGTCTTCCCAAATTGCAGTAACTGCCAAACTGACCCACTTATGGAGATATGCCTGGAGCATGCACGTCCAGATATTATAACTCTAATATAGTATTGAAAATGCCCAAAAATTTCACTAGTTATCTTTCAGAAGGGGGGTTGTTTCTATATGTTTGAAAGAGGCAAAAAAAATTCACTTATGACTTATAAGATGGTACACAAGACCAACTATTTGAAAATTGAAAGTTGAAAATGAAATGGAAAATATTTGTAGTACCTCTCAGGCTTTTCCACCTAATGTATCTGTGACAAGGGGGGTGATAAGCAGATCAGTTTTCTTTGAAAGTAAATGTCAGAAGCCCATTCTAGGAGCATGTAATTTTCTAAAGATATCTAAGAAAGCTGTATATAGCTTTTGCTTTAGCTTGGCAAAAGCATGGGACTGCCTTCAGGAAGACAGTGGTTTCTCCAACAATCTTCGTGGATCATTGCATAAGTAAACAGAACCCACATTACATGTAACAGAATAAGCCATTCCCAACCCACAGAGGATTGTGGCTGTAAGCAAAGCAAGCCTAGTTACTTGACAGAATGATAAATATAAAATCCTGATGGACTGGCATTTCAGGTTTAAGTGGGAAAGTGCATTCTTACACCTATACTAACAATCACCCAGAAAATGTTTGACTGTGGTTGAAATGTGGTAAGTGAAATCACAAAGTCTGTGACAGTAGAAGAAAGAAAAAAATAATAGGAGATTTTAAATATTCCTCTACTGATTGGGTAAATATTGTCCTGGGAATTGTGATAGAGACTAAACAGATGCTACAGACATGGTAAAGTTACTGCTTAAGAGAAAAGCTACTGTTAAAAATTCTTGACTTAATCATAAGCAGTTTGTAGAACTTTGATCAGAAAGTTTCTGCTGGAGAACCATTTTATAACAGTCTGCATAATATACTCAGATACGACTGCCTCTTAGGAGAAACAAAGTAAAAAAAATTGCACTACAGCTGTGATTAAATTTAAGAAAGGGAACTGTTTTAAAAGAGAAATAGACTTTACACCATGAGGAAAGATACCATGTTTTTAATTAAAATACGAAGTAAAGGTGACTGTTATAATTAGTAAAGAAAGTAGTATCCTAATAAAAAGTTATAAGCACGGTCAGGTGATTAGGTAGATAAGACTAAATTCTGGTATATAAACCAGAACTTAAAAAAATAAATAAATAATTAAATAAAAATTAATACTAAACCTTTTATCCAAAGCAGATAGCTTACTAGAGACTCCAGGGTCCACAAAATGACAAGAGTATGTAAGAACTGTTTATAGAGCACTTTACAAGAAAAATATTTACTTTCTCTTTTTTTTAATCTGTTTTTATAAAACATGAGCTTAAGTAGGCTCACAAACCAGGTACCCTCTTTATCAGAGGAAGTGTTGGTCTGTCTCAAACAACAGTGCTAGTAGATCATACTGTCAAACAAATCCACAAAATTAACATAACTTATTAGGAAGAGATGGTATTCTTCCAATAGTTCTAAAAAAGATAAAGAATGTTATAGTTTAATTATTAACAGTAGTGTGTAATATCTTACTTATAATCACCATGTAGCAAAGCAATGGAAAATTGAAACACTAAACTAAATTATTTGTAAGGGCTACATGAGGAATCTCTGCAGCTACAGATCTCTGCAGGGCAGAAAAAAATTATATTCATGTCAGGCAAACTGGCAGAAATTTGTGTAAGGTGAAATAAATCTGCAGACATTAGGATGAATATAACCAAAATAAAAAAGAAATTGTGCCTCATAACTTTAATAAAGTTCTTTTGAAGGTGTAAACAAACACACTGGCAGAGAGAACCAGTACTAACTGTTGATCTAGTCAATATAGATTTTTCAAATGAGATTCAACAAGGTCCTCAAAATCTTTCAAAAAGATGCATGGAAGAAGAAACTTCATCATGAGTCATCACCTCATTAAAAGAGAAGAAATGTGCAGTAACACTAGGTTGAAGTGGAAAGACTGATCTGGGACCTCTCTGTACCCATGGTAGAGATCATACAGTTTGATATATTCCTAAAGGATGTGGAAAGGAAGGTGAAACAAGAGGTAAAAAATTCTGATAGCAATGATCATAAGGTAATCAAGATGTAATTTAATGACGAAAAAAATGAAAAATCAGAAAAAATCAATTAATCAGTGTGTAGAGTTGTTTAGAGATGACCTTCGAAGGCTATCAGCAATGGACTTAGCTGTGACTGGTAGTTCTATAAGACACCAATTCATCATTGGGCTAAATGCAACCAAGTCTTCAGAGGTTTTATCTGATTTCTATCAAAATTTCTGCTGATGTCACTGGTCTTTTTATAAGTTAGGTCCCAGTTAAATATAAAATAAAGATGCCAAACTAGCTAAATAAATAGGAAAAACATTTTGAACTAACATTAAACAGTCAGCCTGTATCTCAAATGTGGTGTATCTAATTATAGATGAGTTTTAACAACTCTCAACAACTGACTTTGTACTGTAATGTGGCTTTCACATTATTCTATTTTATACTGTTCTGGGAATGCAAAATGACAAAGTATTTGACATTCCAGGGATGGGGCATCCAGTAACCCTGGATGCCCCATCCCTGGAAGAGTTCACAGCTGGGTTGGATGGGACTTTGAGCAACCTGATCTAGTGAGTGGCAACCCTGCCCATGGCAAGAGGGTTGGAACAAGATAATCTTTAAGGTCCCTTCCAGCCCAAACCATTCTATGATTCTGCCATTCATTATTTCAGTCCATAAATCAAATTATAATACACAAAAGACTAGCAGAAATAAAAGCTGAAATAGGGGCACAAAAAGGAAAAATTATCACATTTTTAAAACTCTTCAATTTATAGCATTGTGTCAGATTTCTGAAAGATCTCCACATGCAGACATATACCACAGAAATCCGCCTGACAGAAAGTCAAGATGTTATGTCAATATTTATACTTCCTTAATTTTCTACAGCTGTTTATGAGTTTCCATAGTGTAAACTAAGCTCAGGACTGCCAAGACTGAACACGAGCCTCAAGTTAGAAAAAACTGTAGTGACAGCCAACAAATGCAGTAATTCAAAGCTGACATGAATCATACCCAACATGGTCATGAACATCATCTGACACTGAGCATCTAAATAAAAACCCATCAAACCTAAAAGATGTAGGAGAGTAATACCAAGCAATATATCTTATTAAGCAGGAGACAGGAATATATTTAAATAGCTATGATTAGTGTAATTATAAATTTATGTTATTATATAGTGAAGAATCCTTTTTCTAAAAATACTATGTTACTTTTATTTTACCAGAGGAAGCCATGTATTTTAATTTACTAGTTATCCCCTGAGATTTACCATGATTTCTTGTCTTACATTTGATTGGATTTACCCATACCCTTGCATTTTCCAGTGCATAAGCATGTCAAAACATAGTATATTGACAATTAGCTAATTTACATTTTCTTCCCCGCAATTTTAGATTAGTTTCCCTTCTAGGGGATCTTAAGAATAGCTGACTACATGTGTATAATGTCACTTTTGAAAATAATGTAATAAAGTATCTCCTTTATCTCTTTCAAAGGGCTTACACTGGATATATAGAGTGAAAAAGCATCTATTCCTCTCTTCTCCCCAACAGCTCCAGAGCATTCTTTTTGGTGTTAATTTTCTTTTAAACTTCATCTGATCTCTCAGGAAAATCATCTCCAGCCCAGCTACCACCCACAAAAATCCCAGCCACAGAACTGATGGAGGTGATAGGCATGGATGGAAAGACAAAGCTCAGGAGCAGTAGCAGCTTACATCAGTGTAGTGGCAAGAGCAGCCTTAATGCCAGTATCTGTGTGAGCCTGGAGATGTCACAGTGAAACTGGTAACCTTCGGGGAGTCTTGAATGTATGGTTGCAAAGGCACAGCTTTTA